TATTCTTAAAAAACACACGCAAACTTAGATACATTTGATATGTACAAGTAGTTCTCAATGAAACTCTTCAATGATATTAAAATTGGTTGTAATTTATTATTAAATTTTCAATTTAAATAATTTTTTTATTATCTTCAATTCCATCTATCGATTTTTTTTTCAAGCATATAAAGCCACAACGCATGTAAGAATGTTACTGTGTAATGGACGCGTCATTATATCATATCATGACAATGTTGTTGAGTTGACTACATCGATAAAATAACTTTAATTCGAATTCAACGATATAAATTCATATCACGATAAAGCTTTTGTTTAAGGCGATATTAATTGCTATTATCATTTACACAATCCTATGCTTTTCACATCCATTCATTGACACGAATCAAACATTGGAAAACTGTACAAACAATTGAGGAGTGCCTTGAGAGATAAGGCGGGGGCTTACGGCCGGGGAGGCAGGAATCACTCATTATTTAAATATTCTAACGACTGCGCTAAGCATTCCGGGTAAGTGGAGCGTTAGGTGATAAGTGTGCTATTGTTTTGTAGATTGGTTTCGATAGAAGTGGGTTAAGGATTATGGCCGTGGAAACGATGGAATGGTGAATTAATTGAAGATTCTTGATGAACTCTTGTTTCTGACTTCATATTATTACTTCACCTTTAAAACACTACCTTTGTTATATTAATTACATTATCTAAGTTCAGATATTTGAGGGATTACTTAGGCATATGGAAATATAATAAATATCCGGCCAAGTGCGACTCGGACTTGCGCTTGAAGAGTATCATACCACTGTCTATAAAAAACGTAAAAATCACTTTTCTACTTTTTGTCATAGGTGGCAAAAGAATAAAATCATCTGAAAAATTTTTGGCTAGCTAATACGGTTCACGAGATACAGCCTATTGAAAATCAGACAGTAATAGGACTCGTTTTCACCCTTTAGCTACGCAACTCAAAAAAACTTATTTAGAAATCACATATTGAACGTGTTTAGAAAAACTTTATGCACTGACAGACTGTAGCAAGAATTTAAAAAAAACTCTAGATCGTTACAGTTTATTACTTTTAAACCGTCCACAAAGAAGGTCTGAGCCCCTGCAGTGGGGATATGAAAGGGCTGATGATGATCAATTTAAAAAGAATATCAGCAGATTCACGGATAGAAACAATAAAACGTTTTTGTAACTAAAGCTACTAATTCTATAGATACTATAGCTCTGTCTGCCAGACAGTCAGACTAGTTGGGCAGCTGAGTCTTAATAACAGAACCCTAAACATTTCAAAGTTACCCTTAAAATTAATAGTTTTTAGATTTCTTCTTGTAATTATACTATTTTTATAGGGAGAATTATACATATTATTATAATGTGAGTTACTTTGCAGATGAGTTTGCGAGTAATTATTTACTTATAGTTTCGTTATATGTGCAATTCATCATCCTTTGTCACTATCTATATAATTGCCGGGTACAATGAGTAAAATTGGGATAGTCTTATCTGTATGTCCAGCCTTAAGTGTATTTATCTCATTGGATCCTAATGCGCAAAAAACTTGTTTAAGAAATTTCCAACTCGAAAGCGATTTATGACTAAGAATTTGTAATTTTAATTGTTTCCCGGCCTTATCACATCTTTCTACTATTATGATTTATAAATATTTTCCCTTCATAGGCATAGCTCACCAGCTGGCTGGTCTACCTGGTGGTGAGTGGGGAGCATTGGCGAGACATTATCCACCTCCACTGTTACCCTCTCACGCCCACTTCACGCCACATGTTTTACCATCTGCGCATGCACAGCCACCTGTACCACCACCTCCACATGAAACAGGTAAAGATTTTAAAGATTGTGGATTATATGTTATGTAATGTAACTTATTATTAAAGGTTTTAAAACCAGTAGTAGACTAAACGTTCTTTGAAAAGTCAACACCAATTTCACAAAACAACGATGTATATATACATTTGTGGTTTTCCGCATGTACTTCGGTCAAATAAAAGTTGACACACACATGTCAGCTTCGACAAGTGGACTTTTGTTATGTAAAGACCTAGTACAAAGCTCCGTGCCTGTTTCAGACGAAAGCTCACGATATGGGTACGAAGGTATCAGCAGCAAGTTTCGATTTTCAAACAATCCTATGTGCTTACTACATCTACTGGTGAAATAAGCTCTTTTTACTATAACGCTAGTAATCAGTCTTTGATTTTAAAAACTTTGGTATGAGCACTGAGTGGGGATTATTTGTATGTGGGATGAAACTTCTGTCAAGCGAGGATCTAACGTGTAGTCAGCTGTACTACGTACTACTATTTATCACAAATTGCTGTAAAAGGAATGAAAATATGGTCTGATAATTGTGGCAGATAAGAACTTAGATATATTTTTAAGCTGATCAAGATCTTAATGTTTTTATTTGCCCTCGATTTTACTAAAAGGTCACACGCAACAAGAACAGTCATGTTTTTCAATGATCAATGTTGAAATCACTGTTGAAACTAACTTCAATATTGAAATCACTGTCAAGTGATGACTAATCGTAAGATCTAGAAACAAAATGATTTACAGCTCAGGAACAGTTCTCTTGTGTTGGATAGTGTAAAGTGACTGGAGAACGAAATAATATAAATTAGTACAGATGTTTTCTGACTTCAAATCTCATTTCAAACAATGTTAGTTTTATGATCGATATATTAAGTCTGAATTAAAGACTGACTAGACAGTTTTATTGATTTTATTAATCTTCTTAGTTTATTTTGCTACACAAATTGTTGATTTTGAAGTATATTTTAATTGTTGAAGTATATTTCAAAATTTTGATTACGTACTTATCATGACTAAAAAGGAGATATATTGGACGTTTGTTTTGTTTTTGTTACAACAATTATATTTTTTATGTAATAAGTTGATTGATTTGGCGTTTGTTAATGCAATTGGAATTTGAGATAACTACAAAATTTTAGGGAAATTAATCTAATTACTTATTTTAGAATACCGGTAAATTTATAAAGTTGAAAATGTCAACAATAACTTTTATAAGTTATATATGTAGTAGTTTAAAAGTTAAAAAGCCCGGCGTATACAAAGATAAGTTGTAGTTGACTTTAAATGAGTGTAGTTTTTGGGACGAAGTAAATAAAGCCATCTGACAGTTTCTTGGAAAGTACACAAATAAAAAGCCATAACCATTTAGTATAAATTTTTTGTTTAGTAATTAAGCCAAATTCAGAAAATAATGCTTCTTTATTATAAAAGTTATTACACTTCAAACCTTTAAAACGCTGTCTTGTATTAGAGAAAGCTCAAATTCTTCCTATACTGTAAGGAAAGGTGAAGACCTTCCCTTGCGGAGTTGACAGATAGAACTAAGCTAAATTATGACAGTACTAAAAATATATACATTAATTAAAAAATTGTAAACTACAATCAATTACTAACAATTTTCAATGTTTTCTTTCTGTGCAGATGTAGCATCAGAAACGCCGACAACAATGCATGCTCACAGTACAACGAGCCCAGCGACATCTCGTCCTGGTTCGCCACAAGACGACGACATATCTGTCACTGCATCCAGCAGTCCTCCTCCTGACGACCGCCCCGGGGCTTTCACCTCCGTTGCGAGACCAAGAAAACCATTACAACCACTTCCACCACCGTCCAGCCTTTTCCATAGTGCTCTAGCAGCTCAGCTATTTCTCAATTCTCCCCTCTTACCTACTCCACCCGCATGGTTATACTCCCAACTCTATGGAGGTTACGATTGGTGGTTAAGACCTCCTCCGCCGCAAGAAGATTCTAGTTCCAGTCCAGATAGAGAAGAAGAAGTTTCTGCTGCTTCTGGCGCTGGGAAAAAACGGCCAGCGTCACCAGAATGGACAGATCAAGGAGTCCGAACTCGTAGCAAATCTCTGATCACGTCAGAGAGGCGACCAGTGGATGTATGGCGTCCATACTAATGAGAAAATAGTGTTCGGTTAGACATTATGCGGGTGTGTCAGATATTTCGTGAAGTGAACTTTGGCGGTAAATAACTTGTACTGTGTTCCTAAATGCGATCTGTTTCGGTTATTGACTATGCCAGACAAATTAAAGGTAAAGGTTCCAAGACATTTTAATACAAATTGACTTTTTTAATGGTAATGTTAGACTAGTGAATGGGCAAGTGGAGTGAAATGTGCAATACTGTATATTAATTCGAAGTTCGTGCCATGTAGACTGCAAAAAAATCGGATACGAATTTAATTAAGTTATAAATGTCGATAGCAGTTTTTACGTTAGATAAATGAATGTGAATTTGAAATCGTAATGTTTAATGAAATTGTTGACTGTATTATAAGATAATGCAAAGTCTGTAAATAAAGTTATCGAAATTTTTCATTCATAGTTTCATTTCGACATTTTTAGGTTGAGGATCACTTGAGGACATATTTCTCTTTAGTGACATATTTACTATATCATATTTTTTTCTCTGTGGTTTGATCAGTCCTATATGTATTATATTTCATTAATATTTAATATATACTTATAACGATGCGGTTACTGTACTAGGCTGTTTCAAATTAATTTATATTTATTTAGTGCTGGCAATCTGCCCTAGCCTACGTAAATAATTATTTTGTATTTCAATATTATTTTCGTACTCACAAGTTATGAACGCTTATTTAAGCTATTGGCAACGGTTTTTGCTTAAATCATTAATGTTTTGAAATTTTTGAAATAATTGTGAATTTGTTTATTTATGACTAAATTACAATCATACAAAATTAAAGTATTTTAACTGAGTGTTATGTTTTATATTATTATTTCAAATTATCTGCTTGGGCAGTTAAATGTATTTTAAACATAAATGAGATAACAAAAATATATGCATTTGAAATTCTAGGTTTTATTGTTTGTGAGAAAAATACATGATTTGGTTAAAAAAAGTCATTATTTACCATTAGTACTTAATATTATAAACACTACAATTTAAAATTATCCAATTACATGTGTTATTTCGGGCTTATACTCGACCCAGTAGCTTTACATCTTCTATCTATAAAATCCATGAGCCTCATAACTCCGTTGTAGACTTCTGTGGCAGTAGACTGTATTTCTTCTTTGGGTAAAAGGAATCTATGTTGCTTCGCTCTTAGTTCTATCATGTAAGAATATGGTATGTTGGCGACACCATAGCTCCAATCGACGCTAGTGCCCGCTGAGTAATACATCAGATCCTTGGTACTGCCCACTTTGTAGATGCGACCGCTAGTATCATGTATAGCCTGAACAAAAGCAATCAACATATATTCGTAGCTTCAAGAACAGTAAGTCCAAATCAGGAAATAATACCCATAGTGTTATTTATTAATGAAGTTATTGCCAAAATATAGGGAAATAAGATCTCTACATATTATTAGTTAAAATTCGACTAATATATCGTACTTCTTACAATAATATGTTGTTCAAAAGTAATCTCATAGGAACCTCTGTATAAGAATTATTGATTATATTGATACAGAGTGGAATTGCGATAAATCGATATAATATGGAAAAATATTTGAAACGTCTTATCCACTATCCTTTACCTAAATTCTATGTAAGTATGCATACAAATTTAATTTTGTCAAAAAAAGGATTTTAAGTGAAAAAAATCCTAATTTATTCTATATAACTATATAGTTGGTAAGCCATAGGTCACCCATAACCTAATTAAATGTAAAAACGTACCTTAGCTATGGCTGTGCCACCTTCTAATAACTCCACGTAGTCTGGGCAGGGGTCACCCGTGTACCCCCAAGGGAAGATGATCACTTCACCGTAGCTATGAAATGATAGAAACGCTTGGAAAGTCGTCTCAGACTCTAGTATCGCTTTCTGAAAAAAGTTGCAGGGTTAGTATAGAAACATGCAAAAGCTACAAAAGGGGTTATACTTGAATTTTATTAATACGATTGATCTTTCATAAAAACGATGTTAAGTGACTTCAATGTCTGTGTTTTTATTACGCATCAACACATATGTCATATTAATACTCTTTTTTAAAGAATTCATGTATTTCTGAAGATTATCTCCTACAAATAAACGAAAAAAGTTAGTAATTTTAGATGCCTACTTATTATATAAGAACAAATGATATATACAACAATGCGACATCCTGGCATCACACTGGAGACACCGGAAACTTCCGCGAAGCTTCTGAAGACCCTAAAAAGCTTCTGCGCTTCTTTGCGCTGCGGAGCTCGGTTGACGGAGTAAGACAGCCAACATTTCATGCACAATTGACCGATTAGAGTATCTAGGTGTCCTATTAGTGCGGAAAATTGGAACCTCCTAAGCTAACCTAAGATAAATATAAGACGTGCAAGAAGGACGGCGTACAAACAATCAAATTTTAGGGATAAAATTCACTTCATAATTATTAAGTTGATACGAGATTCGTACCTTAACGGCTAATGTTTCTGGTTCAGAGAATGGCTGGGGACCTCTATAGAAAATATTGCCAGGGTCTTCCGAAGAACCTTCCTCTCCTTTCTCTCCCCATCCGTAGCTGAAATACAATGACAAGTTGGTAAACCAGAACACAGACACTTAAGTTTCTGCTTCGGAAAATTAAAAACAGAATTTTTTATAACTTTGCTTTTACGTAAATTGTTTCTTTTCGGAATGGTCCTTGGAAAATAAGTAACTGTTAGGAACATTTTTTATTTCTCGGAAAAAAGAAAATTAAGCGATCATTCTGTTTCTCGACATAATTTCTTCAAACAGTCAATGTTCATAATTGTCAAGACAAATACCTGAAGTTTCTATTAAGGTCTACGCCTACGCACTCGCCGTATTTCGCTCGGTTCTTCCGCCACATCCTGTCGTGTATATGCGTGTATTCGTATCCGTCTGGATTCATCACAGGCAGTATGTACCTAGTTAAAGTTCACTTATCAATCATAGATACAATAAGAAAATTAGCTCAATATGTTTATAATAGATACTTACGATAATATTGAAAAATAGCTAAAAACATTGATAATATGTATAAAAAAAGAAATTTTATTTCTCTCTATTATACATGATCTATTTCTAAGAAACAAATTCCTTTTGAACATTGTACTAATGAGGAAACCAAGCTCCCATTATCATTAATGACACTCTGTAAGTACTAATACTATTTGAAATAGATTCAAACATGTCCTTTTTAAACTAATTACACTCTGAGTGGTAAGTGTAAGTTTTACGTTAACGCGTTCACTAGTGAGCGTGTTAAGAATTTGTATGGAGATTTGTAGTTCTTGGTTATTACCGCTAGGGGCGCTGTACCGGATTCCATAATAAAATCTTAACGCGCTCACGATCGACAGTGAACGTAAACGTTAAAAATACTTACACTTTGCGCTTTGATTCATTCAGCCGAGATCCATCACAGTCTAATAATCCCTATATTATATACATTCGTCAAAGAGTTCGATAATGTAATAGTTGGAGAGTGCGATCTGTGATTGCTAAGATTAACTAACTTTCGCAATAGCTGATAATCCAATGGGTGGCCAGAATTTTACTAACTCGAACTCCTTACTGATCTCGGAGGCATATTAAGCTATCGGTCTTTGCTGCACATGTACTCATTAGTACTTACAAATCGTCACTAGGCCTGTTTTCCATATGTGATTCAATCCTTTATGCTATACCTATTGGGACTCTAATAAGCTAATGATGAGATATACATACCAATTCTTATTAGTGACGCTATCTGGTTGGCGGTGGAAGGTTCTGACGAGTTTATTCGCTATGAAAGTTACTACTGCTGTGCTGATCCATTCGCGAGGATGAATAGCGCCGTCGAGCCACACGCCAGCGTTGCCGTCGTTACCATTCGATATTTTTAATAACTAAAATTGTTTAAAACAAAATACATTTATACTTTAAATGACACTTCAAACCGTGAAACTATGATATCTAGCAATTTCCACACCCAGCCAGTATCCGCAAGGCCTGCGTCACATTTACGAACGGCAAAAAATCTCGCTGAGGATGCTCCGTGGACGAGCGAAACACGTGTAGAGTGGTAATTTTGCGAGATTTGTTGACGTTTGTACATATGAGTTTGTGTGCGGGCGGTACACAGCAAGTCTTGCGGATACTGACAGTGTATGCAAGATGCTAGATATTATAGTTTCACAGTTATAGCAAAGAACTTCCTCAAAATAACGCCTGACTCTATTAAATACTGATACTTCAAATTAAATGCGTAGGAGACCGGGTTGAAACAAATGTAATTTCTCGGTGGGTAAGGTGGCATCATCGCCTATTAATTGTTTACGGTGGTTGCAGTTAGCTATTAATATTAATCAAGATATTAAACAAAATCTACTTTACCTATTAGAAATTATGTATTTGACAAAGTAAAATTGTTAATGTCGCCAGTCTAAAATTTTACTAGAATAGGCTAGTTGACAACTTTTTTATTTTATAAAAAAATAGTCCATTAATATCTGAGAAATATTTTCTGGATATATAACATAAACCTGTATTTTCACTTGTAAGGCACAAGCTTATTATTATATTAAAATCTAACCTAAACCTTAGACAAATAATAAACTGACGATTTTCATAATTTTATGGTTAAGTGTAAAAATATTTAAAACTTAACATTTACCCCATGTTGTTATTTGTATTTGTTTGAATCAATTGTAACTGGTGAAACACTAAAGAATTCAAATTCATACAGATATAGATAAAGCATGAAATGAATTAAAATTCATTGACTTACCTTTATATCACGGCCTTCAACAGAGCTTCCAATGATTTGAACTGAGCACAGGTAAGGAAACTCGGAAGCCAACGTGTCCATAAAATTGTATATGTAATTTAACCTGTAGTAATTTTTCCAATCAATGCTTATATCTGAAAGAAGTTCCATATTTAATAATCCTTAGTCTATTACGTGTACTGGACTCGACAAATTCGAATAGAAGACTAACCGCAAAATATAAATGGTACAAGGTATTTATTATTGATAAAGACCACTTAGTATGTGTTTTTAAAAAGACCATTTATTACAATTTGGATGACTCATTTACTTAATTATGATACTTTATTGTTATTATGAGTGTGAAGAAACTATTCATAATAATTACGAATAATAATTACAAATAAATATACATATGTTGTTTTATTTATGAGTAAACAATTATCTATTTAACATATAATTCGTTGAGTTTTTAATCCGTTTATTTCAATTAGAAATAAGACGTAAGATTATCTTTTTATATAAAGTTTACCTGGACTTTATTTTAATTAACAATAGATTTGATATAAATAATAATGAATACTTTAATGTACACCATAGTTAAATAAGCTTAGTGGCCCAGTCGTCGGCCTTATCGCTAAAGAGAAATTTCGTCCAGACAACCGCATTTTAGACTGGACTTTTATTTAAATACATGATGTCTTACGTGGCGAAAAAGATGTTTTTATATAGGTGTAAACAAATTTACACACATACAATAATATATATAATAATAATCTAAACAAAGTATATATCATAAATAGGATGAAACTATAACATATATTCTTAAGAAGATACATAATATTTTTAAAACAGTTTATTGATAGAGCACGTATTATTTCTTCCAGAAATATATAATAAGAGTAAACATCATAAACTGCAACTTATCAAAGAATTTTGTGGAATATGTGGCACAGGCATCAGTAGCAAAAAAACAAAAGCGCTAACTCGAAGGAATTTTAAGTGCTCCTTATATGTATTTTTAACTCTCAAGTATTTTGCGCTTACAATCCCATTTGATTTCATCAATCAAATTAAAGGGACATAAATAAATCTAATGTTGATGATGTTTTTTTTACTAATGACAAATTCTTACGACTCCTTGTAGAAGTTAACGTTGGCGATTGAATCTTAGTCGATGTGCCTCCACGTTCTCTTGATATCATCAGTCCTACATCTGCAATGGCAACTGAGTATGGTATTTCTCTTTCATGCAACATGCCTGCCACTTGGCCTGCCCTCGACCTCTCTACCATGATATCCATTGTGCTCCTTTCTTCCTTCCAGATGACTAAGGCTGTAACAATTCAACTAACGTTTTATTTTATACAAATCTCTGTTACCATTTTAATCTAAATCTTTTCATGTAAGAAATACATAAAAAAACTGAAAGAACGAATAGAGGTAATTCTAGACCGAGTTATCGCAATCTGAAGGAGGTTTACACCAATATGAGTAACAATTTCTAAAAAGAGATTTTTTTATCAAGGAAGGTCTTTCCAGAAAAAGAAGACTTGGCCGTCTTCTTAACTAAACTAAATTTTTACTAAATGTTACTTCTTAACTAAATTTTTACTAAATATTACTAAGAGAATAACCATATTTTGTTCTTTTTTATCAAAAGCAGGATATAAAAAGTTGTTTCTTTAATTAGTTATGAGCCAATACGTTAAATTGTTTAGAAAAATAATGTTTTATGGTAATCTCATAAGCTAATAGATAGACAATGTTATACGTTATTTGGGTATTTAAGATAACAAACTAAATAAAGTCGAAGCTTAGAATAAATATTCATACTAATATTGTTTGTTATTGGAAATATATTAAACGAATATAAAATGGAAAGTGTGATTAATTTTTCTTCTTTCGCGGTGTAACGTATCGTTGGACTATGATTTTAAATTGAACATATCCTAGAGATATTGAATATTGAAGTAAATATATTCGAGGGACTTCGGATGATACAACAATATCACGTCATTTCTTTTTAATACGCGGGTAAAGCTACGAATCTAGAGCTTTATATAAGTCGACGGAATTAATGAACATAATGCTTTCTATTCAACGTAAAATACAAGTAGGAGATCTAATCTTGAAGAAAATACACCTATTTATACAATTTTACTTTACATACCACCTAGTGTATCGAGCGATTTCACAAAATATCTTTGGCCTTCCCTAATAAATTTTACTTCCCATACTTGAGTATTTTCAAGTTTGTTTGCCACTTTGAATAATTTATTTTTAATTATTTCTCATATAAAGTATTATGATTTTTAATTAAAGTTATTTAAATTAAACTGTAAATTTTGAATCTATTTTGACATTTTAATGTTAAACGATAGATCATTTGATGACAGATGACATTATATTATCTGACGTTGTTATTTTTCTTGCACAGTTATGAAATATTTGGAAATTTAAAGCAGTTACAATAACCTTTTTATTTTGTAAATACTTAATAAAAATATTGCATAGGCGATCAAATGAAAAAATCTAAAATCATTCTAGAAAATCCATATTTATCAGTTTACTACTTTTAACAATTATGTACATAAATGAACTTACCTTATAAATCAATAAATGAACAATCATTTATCATTAAATATGTTTTAATTAATCTTATTGTTTGGATTCTGTGAAACAATATTTTGTTTATCCATATAATCCACAAACGCTTTTATAGCACTAACAATTTCTTTTCCTGTTTCTTCAATTTCCTCTTGAGGCAATTTAAATTTGTGTCGTTTACTTCTTAGTTCAATTAGATAGCAATATGGTATACCGGCGACACCGTAGCTAAAGTCGTTACTAGTACCTGATGCGCCATACATAACATCTCTAGAAATGCCGACTTTATACGTATTGCCATTGCTATCGTAGATCGCCTACGGGTAACAAAAGCATATCTTAGTGATATGACTCACAGACAAAATGCTTGCAATGAGTCAATGCCAAGTATCTGTGAGTGAGCGAGCATTGTTAAATTTTTCAAATAGTTTCGAGTTTGTTTCATAATCACTGTCTAATAATTAAATTTTTATTATAACTGTGGTAACAACCAAAATATTAAGCCATCGGATATTTCTCATCCACGAATTCCATAAGAGCTTTAATACAATTAATTATTTCGTTGCCCGTTTCATAAATTTCTTCTTTTGGCGTTTTGGTTTTGTCATTTCGTTTTCTTAGTTCGATCAAATATGAGAACGGTATCCCAGCTACTCCATAGGCAAAATCATAACTAGTTCCAGCTGCCCCGTACATAACATCTTTAGATAGGCCAACTTTATATACATTTCTATTCAAGTCGTTGATTGCCTATAGGTAAATACAATTTTATGAGTACTGTTGTTCAATGTTGCTAGTTCCCGATATAAGTTAGTTTCTGATATACTCGTAATTTAAGGTTCGGTGTGCAATGCTAAAGGTAAGGCTGGTCATAGGAGGTAAAAAAAAATTTTTTTTTATCTCCATCACCTCCGTGCTTCGGAAGATACGTTGCCGTCCCGACTGAATCTGCAGTTGTTAACACCCAACAAACTGATTTGGGACGGCGTGATGGATCACAGCCTATTCTCCATATTCAATTGCAATATGGAAAACCTGAGATATTAACATGCTGATGAAGACGATGAAATTTCAATATGCTACCACTATTTTGATGATTTTTTAAAATTAAGATGGTAGAATAATAATACATTTTTGAGCTTGAAAGAAATTCATATTCTTACACCTTGGACATCACAGTTGCACCCTCAAGCAATCGAATATAGTCAGGACACAATTCCTCTTTATGTGCGAATGGAAATATTATTACTTGTCCATAGCTATGCAGAGTAATGTAAACCTTGAAGGATATACCAGCATTGATCAACATATCCTGAAAGAGAAAATGTGGGTCAAGACTAATTAATATAATTTGATCTGAAGTCTACAACATATTACATAATATCGTAATTGTATTATTGAAGTATGTTATCATTAAACAGAAGTATTTTATATATGTTATAAAGTGTTAATCCTTGTGCTATTAAATTGCAGAGCGATTAAATAACATGTCAGACAAAGAATTAATGGCAAATAGAGAGAATTAATTCAATGTAACAAAATGATATAAAACCGGTGCAATGAAATTGATTTACGGCTAAATCCTGTTTGTAGTTTAATCTCACCGTTCATTGTTGATGGCACGATTTTGGTATCAACAGGACATTACTCCTAAATGATTATAATGTATTTTGTAGTACAAAATGATTTCAGGTACACATTTGATATCATAGTAGAGAAAATAAGTATCCCTAGTATGGAATATTAAAAACTATTAAATTTTCATTAATATATTTCAAAGTTTCCTAGACGGTTATTTATAGTAAAAAATATTAATTTTAACACAATTCCATCTGGATTGTCGCCATCTTGCAGATCGCCAATCGTGGATTTGTTGAACTTATTGAAAATTTACATTTTATTTTGCTATTAGGAACAATTTCAGAAGAAATTTCAATATTCTATAATATAAATAATATTCCATACTTAGTTAAAGTTTATTTGTACTTGTTTTTTATTCTTTGAGAAACAACTACATTTAATACAATTGAATTTGGTGCTATAGTTACTTACGCTACCGCTAAAAAGCGATAAAGCTCTGTCGAGCAAGCAATGACTAATCTAATCCTTTTTCTTTATCTTAACATTACTTACATTGATGTCTTCACATTACTTTGAAAGCATTTGTCAATCATAACAAAAGCTATATACTTTAGGAATTAGATTTTTTGCTTGGAATTATCAATAAGCCAAATTTATATGATTATCTGATTATATATTAATATTTTGCTTTTATAACTTCGATAATCAAATGTTGCTCCTTGCTATTATAAGTGTTGCTGTATTATTGTTTTCAGAATTAAGTTTTATTAGGTGTATTATTATTTTTAGGGGGAGGTAAAACTAGCGTATTGATTATGAAGACTTACTCTAACAGCAGATGACTCTGGTTCAGAGAAAGGTTCAGGTCCTCGGTAGAAAACATTAGTTGGATTTCCAGAGGAGCCTTTACCACCCCAACCACAGCTACAAATAAAAATGCACATGCAAGTCGGACTCATGATTAGGAAACAAGATACAGTAACTACTAAATGACATGTACTCTGTAAATATCTACCTGTTATGGATTCAAAAGATAAGTGCAGAAATATGGGGGTGGTATTTATGATTATTTTAGTATTATATAAAATAAGTATCTACGTCATAACTCTATATAGTAATAATTGATCAGGTAAAATTAATATATATGGAGATTGTAATTCACCTGAAGTTTCTATTAAGATCAACTCCCACGCATTCTCCACCATACCATGATCTACTTTTTCTCCACATGCGGTCTACAGTATGGGAATATTCATATCCATCAGGATTAACTACTGGAAGGAAGTACCTACAAATCGATAATGCTTGCATTATAGTAAAACTATTCTAAAACACTATTCTATTCTATTTGAATAAAATTATTAAAATTTTGATACGTTAAACAGAATTTTAAAACATAGACAAAAATACTATTCAAACAAAAATTCCGACGACACTGAATTTTACGTAGAGACCGTGAGCACATCAATACAAATAATGTGTTCTCTTATATATCACTTATATATTTGCCAGATAAAAACACTATCATTTATTTAAATAAAATAAAGACTTTGCACGTGGAGGTAGAAATGGTAAAAAAATATGTATTCCGATCCAAAGACTTAATTCAAATAACGCTTACTATATTACTATACGCATTTATAATAAATTACCAAACGATATTAAAAGTATTGAGAATGTTATTAAGTTTAAATCCCATTTCTAAATAAATGGGATTTGAACTTAAAAACACGGAACTTAATAACAATAACATGAATGGATAAAAATGATTATTCAACTAATTAATTCTTGCAAGATAAATCGCATTTTTTGTTATTTTAAGAATCCTTTGATTATACGTGTAATATGAACTTATTGTATCTTATATAACTATGATTTCAGGTTCGCTGTTTTTCATGTATTTAAAAAAATATATAAAATCAGACAATTTATCGTATTTTGACTTAAATATTTACACATCGCCTTGACGATACAAAATGTTGGTCTAAAATTGTTAAACTATCATCTAACCATATTTTCGCAAATAAAGATTATTATTATCTAACTCAACATTTTTTTTGCGTAGCTATATGAATATCTATTGTATAAAATATTATATACCCCTGGTTGACCTTTAGCTCTATTACTAATGCTTACCAGTCTTTACTAGTGACGCTAGGTGGCATGTCATTAAAATTTTTGACGATGTGGTTGGCGACGTAGGTAGCTACAGCGGGTGCGATCCACTCACGCGCATGTATGCCGGCATCGATCCATACACTGCTATTAGTGGAGTCACTATTCGAGATTTTTAGGATCTACATTGGTAAATATTATGACTTTAATCTTAAAATATAATTAGTAAATTGTCGTTTCATACATCACATTGATTTATGTAGATACTTAGATAATGAAAAAAAAAATATATTATAATATAAATAGTTATATACATAAAAGTAGAACCTGTTTTTGTTACCATACTGTACAATAATAATTATTTGTGTGTATTGAAGAGAATTATTCAAGTTATGAAACTCTGTTATTGGCTAGATTAGATATATAAGTGAAAACAAAATGATTGTAAAAACAGTTTTCTTAATAAATAAAAAAAAGAGAAATGAGAAATACTAACACCCAATTGAACAAACGGCCATTAACATTTAACGATGATAAAATCATATACTTTGAGTATATTTGATATGGCTTTCAATTATTGACAATTTTAATGGACGTTTGTGTGATAGCTGTAAGCGCAAATCTATAATGTAAAAAAATATAACAATTTTTATAAAGCTTTTCATAATTACTTTTAAATCTCGACCTTCTACGGACTTGCCAATTACTCCAGTAGTACAAATCGAAGGATAATCATATTCTAGATCATCCATAAATGAATGTATTACATCCAAGCGGTGATAAATTTCCCAGTTCATGCGTGGGATTTTAGGTTTTTCATCTGAATATGACAAACATAGAATAGAGAACCGTTACCACAATAAACAGTGAATTTAAATATACTACAATACTATAGTACTACTAACTCTTTTCCCGCCACTTTGCCAGCATAAATACTAGCCTATGGTCACGTGCGTATTACATAATAGCTACATAGCATAGAAGCTACATAGCTTAACGTAGAATTTTCATGACCGGGTCAGTATTTTAAAGTTAGAAACATTACCTTATTAAAAAAAAAATATCAGAAATGTTCTGTTGATGTTGGACGGGGATCTTGTGTAGGTTATTTATATTATTCACACGACTTTAATAGAAATTTCTGAATGACTCTTCATTTTAGTACTTTTTTTTTCAATTGGTTTGATTTACTAGCGGTTTCTCCGCGACTTTACTCGCGTTAATTATAGTAAATGTTAAACAAGTATGATGTAGCTTCCCGTAGGTGAAAGAGTTCCTAAAATCGGTCCAGTAGTTTCGGAGCCTATTTGTTACAAATAAACAAACACTCAAAACTTTTGTAATATAAGATACAGGTCAAATTGATAACCAAATTATAGCGTAAAAGTTATTACATATAATAACTTCATTTCATACCTTTTATAGTAATATCTGGTTTTATTGGTCTATTTACATTTATTATATTATCAGTTTTAAAGCAATCATCTTTGAGAATATTTATCAATGTATTTAGTCTTGCACTAATAGTTTCCTTTGGTTCTAATTCGGGTGATTCATCGGATTCCTCATCGGAGATACTGTTTATTGTACTACACGAATCTTTGGTACAATTTTCATCACTTTCAAAAATAGCCTTCATCTCATCATTTTCTCGGTCGTCTTCATATATAGTTAAATTATTTTGCTCAATAGCATTTTGAGAATAATGATAGATTGTGTCTTGTATGAATTGATTGTGAGGCCTCATTTTGAGCTTCGATCAATGATATTACTAAATTGGTTTTGATTGTGCTTAGACGATCAAAGATCGTTCAGAACTGTTTGGAAATAGCAACATTTTATATGTTTATTGAAATATACTGATTCAAATAAAGTTTTTTACCCTGTACTAGCCAATATACATTTTTTTGGATCTGTGAACAATTTTTAGGTATTTATTGGTGGTTTAAATAGGATTTAGTATACATAATCGTAGGAAATTATTTTGGTTTCATATTGACAAGTTTCTGACAACTACAATAAACTAAAAAACCTCAGATACAAGTTTTAAATCTCCTCAGATAAAATAACTCTTTGTCAATGCTTTGTCACATGTATAATAATCATTGGAATTTTGGAGCCAGACAAACGTGAATTGTTCAACTAAAATGTAGTCTATCTATTAAAAATACTTTATCTGAGGTTTGTCAGATGATGTATTTACACAATACTAAAGAGCACGTAAAAACTAACGTTTTATGTAATTACAGAAAAATTATAATTTCTTTTATTCCGTCTTTAATGCGCGGTTAAGTGTATCTTTGTTTAATACAATTATATTTCGATTTTTACACAATAGCTTTTTATCGCGATTATTTTTCCACGTAAATTAATTTTATGTTACCCGCGTATGACGTAGCTTCCAGTAGGTGAAAGAATTTTCAGGATCAAATCAAAAACAAACAACAAAAAAAAAACTCCACAAGAACCAGGTACCCCGAGATGGGAATAAAATATGTAAGTAATTTTACCTCTTTATAATATTAGTTTAGATAATAATAGATGTAGGTTTTCAATACTAGTCATGGTGATGTTTTGCTAGATTTGCCTCGAAAGACCTCGAAATTTCCACATTGAATTCTGTATAGTTGAGAGTTTACTATCGTCCATCCATAAATAGCATTCAATTTAAAACATAGCAGCCTCCCCCCTTACCACCTATGGTAGCGATTAACTGTCGCATTTTTACACGTTTAAATTAAATAAAAATGTACTTTGACGCCTTATTATAATGATGATAGTAACAGTGAAGATGTTCTTCTTCTTCTTCTTTCTTCAACGGGCGTCTCCGCAACTCGACGACCTTCAGTGAAGATGTTAATCTTATTTAAATATTCTAAATAATGTTAAATAATAGTACTTATCAATTAACATGTTGTTAAGAACCATTTGAAATGGTGGAATAAAAAATTATAATGTTATTTTAAACTTTTATTGTTATAACATTAGAATGAGAATAATTTTATGCCAAATAATTGTGACAGTGCCGAAATATCATGGACGCGATATTTACAAGATAGCAATATTAGAAGATTGACTGTTATTCATACATAACTTTGAGGTTTTGGTTGTTAATAAGCTATATGTCAGTCATAATAAGACTTAATTAGTACAGTAATAAAACGGAGTAAATACGACATCAGGGAATTGATTAAAGAATATCGGATCAAGAATCGAACCGATAAATCTAACAAGCAAATAACAAGCGTCGCCAAGGGTGGCACAATTAAAAAGATAAACGCGTATAAGATCGAGCCGAGGCGACAGGGGGAGATTGGGGTCCGCCAGTCTGGTTAGCGGGTTACCGAGCGACATCACCTACTGCTGATTCTCGAAAGTAAATTAAGTTTTATTTTTCTGATATGTCTACCATACGTTAACCGGTTTCGGCGAACACCTTTGCAAAATGCACTCCATCCTTCGCCATTTTTGTGAGAGTTGTACGAATATTAGTTAATTTCTTAATATCGTCAAGCTAGATGATCTCCTTCTTCTTTTTCCCTTTTATTGTTTATCTTTTCATCATTTCATCATCATTATATTCATCATCTTCACTCATACGACGCCCACTGTTGAGTACAGGCGTCCCCCATAGATTTTCACTTCGAGCGGTCGCTATTACAAAACGGCCATCGGTTCTTCTAGCTTTGTGTCCCGACCATTGCCACTTCAGTTGAGTAATTCTTCTAGCAGTAACGTCGGTTCGTTCCTAATACGATCACACAGTGAAACACCAAGCATTGCTCTCTCTATTGCGCGCTGTTTAATTATCAATTGTAGTTTATTCATTATTTCTATAAATGTCTCTTAATTATGCAATCCTTCTTTTCTTAACTGTGGTTAATACGTCAATTTTCTTCTTTATTCTTCTGAGAACTTCTACGTTAGTAGTTTTATTTGTCCAGGTTATTTTCAACATTTTATGCACCACCACATCTCGTACTAGAATGAGATATTTTTTGTTATTATTGCTCGTCTTCGTCTAAATGTTCGTTTGGAAGATTTGAAATCTATATATTTTAATGCCCAAGCTTCGAAATGAACGCCTAAGTAAATGCGTTACAATATTTACTTGCATTGAAAAAAAATGCTAAATTACCATTTAGCATCAAATATTTTAGGAGCTCAAAAGATAGTGAACAGATACTGTAGTTTATATCATAAACTAACGATAGAAGTATAAAAAAAAATAACATCGTCGATAGATAACGAAGTTTCTACTGTTTTTATCGGTTTTCGGAAATCTTTGGTAAGGGCTCTGTTTCATTAAAAGGGAGTGCACGGGCGGCGAAGCGTTTACTGAAAATATCTGATTACATCTAATTATCGAACGAGCGCTAGCGCTCGGCTCGCTCAGCTCGCTCGTCTTGATTACACGGCCTTTGTTTGCGGAGATACTTGCAACTGCGACTTGTAGATTACTTGAGTGTTGAACTTACTAGTCGAAGTTTCATTTAACATTATTTTGTGGTATTGTTTTGTGAATTTATTAGATTACGGTAGATTTTTTTTTTTTTTTTTATGTTCTTATTTATCGGTGTTTCAAATTGGGAATTAGCTTGATAATAGGGTTACGATTTTTTTTGATGTTCATAAATTATCGGTGTTTCAAATTGGGTATTAGCTTGAAAAGGTCTTAGCTTGATTAGTATTTTTTTGATATATATAAGACCTATTCAGTTATTTATAATTTTCTGTATTTATTAGTCTGCATCTTAATCTACAGAAGTTGAATTTACGTTAAATATTTAGGTAATTCCACAAAATAAGTAATCTTGGGTAGATATTTCAAGCGAGAAAATTACCACGGATCTGACCCAAGAATATTTCTAAAAGATAATTATATATGGAAATGCAATAAACTTCGTACCGCTCGCTAACGGTCGGCAAGTGAGTATACAAATCCATAGTTAGATAAGTATACGGTTTGATCACTGCTTTAATTCTTGAGCTATGGTTGATAACCTTTATCTAATGAGGGACCATTTCTAAATTTATTTGGCCATGCACCACCCATTTTTATATGTGTACCTAAATGTAGTTAAATAAAGGGTTGTTCTATAATAACAAATCCGTTCTACAAACCACTTGGGATCTTTCTAGGGACCGCTAGTGGGGCGTAGACTACCGCTTAAGAATCACTGTTCTAAAGCATCGTGAAAATTCTTTTTGAAAATCAAGATTCTTTAAAAAGAAATAGTAAATCTGCGTCATTTTGGCACCGCAAAACACTGTGTTGTGTTTGGTCAATCAAAAATTCAGAAATTTTAGTTTTATAAACTCTTTATACTTGTTGATTGTGAATTAATCAATGTCTCATATTTATATTCTATAGAGGCATGACTCGTGACATTTAATAGATTGACACTTAATTATAATGTCAGTAGCATGTCAAAATTCAAGAGTAATTAATTTTCGTGAAAACGTTTTATTTTCAAATCCTAGTGGAATAATTAATCAAAGTGGCACGAAAAGACGGCAGACATCAAATATGGGACGTGAAGTGCTTAAAAGAAGGACAAAGAATTTTTATAAGAAACTTAGACGCCAAAGGAGGTACCTGTGGTAGTTTAATCGTATTTTGTATATCGTATTAGTGGAAATTCTTTATTTATGTGTAATTGAGTTTATTTATTTGTTGTGCATGCAATTGCTGTTTAGTAATAAGGCTGTTTTGTAATCTTTTGTATACTTTCTTCTGTCGCTTCTATGTAATATGTCTTTTGTAGTGTGCATTAAAATTATAATATTTTTTATATGCTATTCGTTTCACTGCCATAAAAGTAAAGGCATGATAGGGAAGAGCAAAGCATTGCTAACCAATTATTTTGTAATTATTTACTTCCTTAGCTGTAAACATCTGCAAAGAATACCCAACGAATATGGATATAATGGTGGATGTCCGGAGGTTGACGCAGGTAGATAAGTTATTGCGGGAGAGAGATATTTTCTATGAAGTTTCTATCACTGACACTGCCCTTGGGAACACTCATAACCGTGTACGAAGTCCTATTCCAAATGTACAGCGACCACGATCACCCATAAGTAAGTACCTCTAGTATTTTTCTGTTAGAAAGAAAAAAAATTAAAAGGAAAGGTTCTTGTCTTATATTACTCATTATTTCTGACATTGAAAATATGCCTAACTTAAATATTTTAATATTATATTCCAACATGTTGAACAAAGACAAAGCACAAACCTTTAAGGGACCTAAGAGTATGATTAAAGCCCCATAGTAAGATTCACTATGGGTAGCCCAGGTGGATCCATCGCAATGGAAGGAATGGAATTAGAACGTAAAGTTGCATAGTTACACATCTGCTGCTTTTCACGAGGATAGTTCTGAAGGTTTGCGATATTACCGTGAGTCGCCCTCCATACAGAGGAACGTTAGAAGGTTTTAATGGGCATGCCTCTTTTATTTGTCCTACTCCCCGTTGAGGTCCGCATGGGTGAATTCTCATAACTTCGCCTTTTGCCTGTGGTGGAGAAGCGGGATATTATTAATAACGCTTATTACCTTCGTAAAAAAATACAGTATGGTATGAAAGCCTATAGAACACTTACAATATTGTATTAACGAGATCGGAATGAAGTGGCTGAATTTAATAAATACTATACACGCGCATAACGGTACTTATCTTTGACAACTAAAATTATAAGAATCCATGACTGTGCCCCAAATCAGCATATTTAGGAGATACACAACGATCTCGAACAAACTAGTTTTCTAAATATAATTTACACATTAGTTTAAAAGTTTTATAATTTTCAGAAAGGGCCATGGATTGGAGGGACTATTATCCATTAGACATCATTTATAATTACATGGATTTCTTGGAAATTCAATTTCCATCGACTTGTACAGTGAGCATTATAGGAAAATCTGTGGAAGGTAGAGATATTAAGGTATACAATGACAAAAACTATTAGGTTTAATATTAAATTGCATAGTTGGGTATTATGTTTTTTATTTAAAAAATATGAACAACTTTAGGTCGTATTTTTTTTTACAAATTTTCAATCCTGTTTGCAGATGCTCAAAATATCGAACAGTAATGCAAGTAACTCGGCAGTTTGGCTTGACGGAGCTATACATTCACGGGAGTGGATAAGTACTGCTGTGGTCACTTTCATAGCCGATCATTTTGCTAGGAACTTTAACGAGTTACCTCAAAGTATCACTAATAAAGATTGGTAAATCTACGGCATTACTATTAAAGACAAAAATTTTAACTATAGCATTATTATATACATGTGAATTATTATCTATTACAATCTAAATGACTTATATTTTTGCTTTGTTTATCGTGATAGCAATTTCTTTGTAGAGTGTTTGATACAAGAATTAATTTTCTAAATCTTTTAAGTATTAAAAGTTTTAATTTGGTAGGTACTTATTTTAATTAAAATATCTAAAGAAAACTATATAGAATCAAGCTTAAAATAAAATTGTTTGTAATCTTATTAAAAGTAAACACAGTCAGTAAAATACACATTGTTCTAATTTGAAATAAAAAATCACTTGCAGAAATGTCACATTTAGTCGTGAGCTGCTGCTGTGTGTGTATAAAGTTTTAATGTAATTATATTCTGTTTTAGGTATTTTGTTCCAATCGTCAATCCAGACGGTTACCACCACACTCATATTTTGGATAGGCTATGGCGGAAGAACAGAGCTCGTGTTGGTAGCAACATTTGTGGTGTTGATCTCAATAGGAATTTTTCGTATGTATTTAGTTTAATTTCTGACTATATTTGTTACTGTTTTTTTTTTGTGTTTATAATGTTTTATACTTGAGACATTCAGCTTTCGGACATGGAGAACAAAACGTTCATAAATCTTAGTTTTCAGATAAGTAGATGATAGAAATAAAACGAATTATATGTTTCCAGTCATTTGTGGGGTCATGGTGCCGAAGAGTGCTCGTCTTCAGATCCATACCATTTAAACTATAGAGGCCGGGCACCTTTTTCAGAGCCTGAAACGGCTGCTATTAAAGTAAGCGTTTATGTCAACAAATAATTTTTCCATCGATAGTCGATAATTTTATAAGTGAATGATGTTCTTTTACAGGATTTAATATTATATTCCGGGACGCCATTTAAAATATTCTTGACTTTTCATTCGTATAGTGAAGTGATATCGTTTCCTTGGTGTTTCTCGAATGAACCATGCATAGATTATGTGACATTACTCGAAGGGGGTACTTCAATGGCAAAGGTAATTAATTGTAATAAGTATCAACTATCGTAATGTTTGTGTGCTATTAAGTTATAGACATGTTATTGAGTCAATATTAGTTTTAGATAAATAGCAATCAATATTTATATTATAAATGGAAAAGATTTGATCGCTTGTTTACATTAAATAGGTCGGACTGCCTTTAAAATGTCTTTACACTGCGCGAAGCTTTTAAAGAATATTATGATAAGAATATTATGATATTGTTTAAAAAAATCAAAGTCACTCATAAACAACAAGGACACTTTTTGAGAGATAATGATCTTATATTTTCAGGCTATTTACGAAACGAATGGTCGTATGTATAAAGTTGGCAACTTCAAAGATCTCATGTATAGCGCATGCGGAACCAGTATAGACTGGAGTTATGGCGTAGCGCGAATACCATTCTCATACCTCATCGAACTGCCGAGTAAACAAGATCGATTTTTACTACCCAAGGAGAAAATATTAAGCTGTTGCAAAGAAGTGTTAAATGGAGTGAAGGCACTAGCTCAGTTCGTGGACACGGCGACACCGTCACCTAATGCAGTGGTAATCAATAAAAAGAGACAGATGTTGTGATAGTTTCGTATGATTTTATTTTGCAAAGTTGATTGTGAAAATATTATAGTTACTTTACACTTACCAAAGAATTTATGAGTAGTAGACATTTTGTTAGCATTTTTGTATATCTTCTCTTTCGGATCGAATTGGGTTTATAAGAAGCGGATTATAAATATATAATATTTTTAAAGTGAATGTTTTTGATTAAAACAATTAGAATACTAGTCAGATACCTAAACATTATTGTTAGCAGTATTAGCCTATTAATGTTCTCACTATTGGGATACAGGTCTTTCCTATGGGTGGAACCAAATAGAGAAAATTGGCCAATATCTACCATGCAGATTGTAAAGTTAATGACTGCAGATGTAGCAGAGACCAACGGCTTAACTTACCCTTCCGAATCGCGGAAGATTTCGAGCTAACAAAATAAGTACCAATCCTATGGACCATGCCTTACGAAAGTTGCGTAACTCAGCCTTCGAACTCTTAAATATACTTAATAAACAATTACAAATGCTCGTCGACGAGTTCTAGATGTATTATTTGATCTTCTATCATAAGAAGATTCATATGGGTACAAAAATTAAATGCATCATGTATAATATTTATTCAATACAAAAATCAACATCAAATAAATTCTTGAGGAACAAAAAATTTTAATGTACTCTTAAGCACGTAAGTAATGAAAGATAATTCAATTAGAATTTTACACAATAAAAAAAAAAGACTTCAAAGATACAGATCCAAAGAAACACTACTAATCCAATACATCATCTTATATTAACAATATTAAAAACAGATTAAAATTTTAAGTGCATCAAGGCTTCTGATGTTGTTTTAAGATTGAATCGACTTTATTGTTCCTTAACTTTATATCTACAGCACGATAACAATACAAGTGTTTGATTACTGAAATTTTAAATTGATTTTTGGTTATCTACATAGTCCATCAAGGAATTGATTGCATTCCAAATTTCAATACAGTTGTCCATGATTTGATCTTTAGGCAATTTGAATCTATGCCTTCTGCTTCTTAGCTCAATCATATAAGAGTAAGGTATTTTTGCAATAGCGTAACTCCAATCAATGCTTGTGCCACAAGCATAGTAGGTTAAGTCCTTCGTACTTCCAACTCTATATGTCAATCCTGTAGTTTCCATTATTGTCTGAAAATCAAAATGTAATCAAATCATTAAGCATCAAATATTATTTTTAGCGATTAAATAATATCAGATGTCACCAAAAGAAAGCTTAGTAAACGTCTGAAAGACTGTAAAAGATAAACTATTTATATGATAAAAATAATAATGCTAAGAATCCACTCATCATTAAACATTAAAATTTCCAACATATCACCCACTATATTGCAGTAATTAAAAACTATCCTACTAGTTTCTTACACAAGAGTTACCCTTGCCATAATAGCGCCTGCTTCCAACAAACGCAAATAGTCTTTACAAGGCTCCCTTTTGAATCCCCAAGGGAAAATGATTAGCTCAAAATAGCTGTGGAATGATAGAAAAACCTTGAATGGCGTCATTGAACCTAGTATTGTATCCTGAAACAAGTATGAAATTAATTTAAACCATAGGAAAACTGCCATCCTAGAAATCAAAATTTTCTGTAGGCAATAAAAAAAATATTTCTAAGATTTTTTACATTATATTTTGTGTTAAGTGTTTTTGGGTTCCCAAACTTTGGACTGGATTTAGTTTTAATACAGTTATTTGATTTACCCTCACAGCTGTGCTTTCTGGTTCTGAAAACGGTGCTGGACCTCTGTAAAATACGTTATTTGGCTCTTCAGAAGAACCTTCATCTCCATTGTTTCCCCAACCATAACTGTAAATTAAAAATGTACTCATATCTATATTTCAAATTGTCCACTTATCAAACTTAATGTAGATTAACCAAAAGTTACAGTTAGTTCCTCCTGTAAATATTAATTTAAAGGGAGCAATCACTTGTCTTGTTGGAATTTGTTTCGCCAGTTCTTTTCTGACAAGACTGCCAAATTTAGAACTGGTGGTAGATAACTGTAGCCAGGGGTAAATAAACGAACAATAAATTAAGTAAGTCAAATGTATTTTAAAATAGTTTAATAAATGTAAAAATTCCATAAAATGTTTTTATTATGAATGTGACCAATAGAATTGTTTTGAAGGTAGCTATGCAAGAAGGTAAAAAACAATTGAAACTTTAGTCATATGTGAACATGGAACCTGTAAAGGGTCCGAAACGTCATGAAATCAAATATAAATGCGCTGAAACTGTTTGAAGTATTTTAATTTAATAACTTCTTTAATAGAAACATTGCATAAAATTGCACATTTTTTATTAAACATGTTTATTAATGACGATAGAATACAAAACTAACAGCCAGTTGCACAAACGTCCATTAAAATTTTAAGCGACGTTACCCATACAAATTTGACATTCATTAGAGCTTAAAAACATCATTAAACCTTAATGGACGTTTGTGCAACTGACGGTAAGGTGGATAAATTCTGAGGATTATGAGCCGATATAGAGCCGGCCGAAAGCCGAAACAATATATAATATACTATCAATAGTTGTATTAAGTACCTGAAGTTTCTGTTTAAATCTACACCGAATTCTCCGTCGTAACAGGCTCTGTTTTTTCTCCACATACGGTCGTGGGTATGTGTATATTCGTAGCCATCAGGATTCAGTACTGGAACTATGTGCCTAAAATGCGATAGACGATTGTAGAATAATCAACCGTAGTCATCGTAAAGAAGTTACAACATGATTCTTTTAGTCGATCATAATACAAATGTATTTTAAATGCCTATTGATGCTTTTTCTATAGTTTGCAAAAGTACAGGAAATATTTCTTATAAGACACAGAGATTTTTTAATGAGAAACATGACATCTAAGCTGTGAGTTCGACTAATTATTTATTTTCGAAAACTGATACTTATTAGTAATTCGAAGGAAATTTTGTCAATCAATAGAATTTATTGCAGAAACATAATATACCAATCTTTGTTTGTCATAGAATTTGACAAATTTTGGAAATTCTTAACGATCATGTCAGCTATGTATGTGACCACAGCAGTTGTAATCCATTCCCTGGGATGTATGGATGCATCTAACCATACAGCTGTATTGCTGGCGTTGCTATTCGATATTTTTAACATCTGCCAAAAAAATAAAGAAGTAAAGAAAAAAACAGGGATTATTAGAAGCGTTACAAAATATTTCATATATACTTTAATGTCACGGCCTTCCACAGATTTTCCGATAACACTGACAGTGCATATAGCAGGATAGTCTCTTTCCAGTTCTTCTATAAACGCATATATAACATTAAGTCTATGATATTTCTTCCAATCCATTAGTTTAACTGAAAGAATAGTTGATTTTCAATGAGAATGGAATTTGAAAGTACGCGATAAAAGTATACATATAACTTACTTTTTCGTTTCTTTGGTTTTTGTGTTGGTATTATTTGCTTTATACATTTTTGTAGAATCCCATTTGAAATACATTTTACTGTGAATTTAATAAAATATTCATTTTGTGTTTTTATCAAATGTACTTCAATCTTTAACAAATATAGAACTGAACTATGATAGCTTCTTTATGTGAGGTAGTAATAATGTTTTTGAGTAAGTTAAACTTAAGCGAACTCTCTAGAAGTTTATATACTATACTTATTCATTGTGATTATATTTTTGTACGGTTTGCGCAAGCAGTTTACGTTAAAAAAGACGATAAAATTTTTAGAATACTTGAAGTTGAAGGAATAGAAAATTCTAAAGATTTCTAGTAAAAGTCGATAATTTACATTGGTAATAGCTACATATGGGGCTTTAGCTTTTACTTAGCTTACTTTTTTGATATTCTTACCTTTGCCTTTTCCAAATTTAGTTTGAGTACCGTTTTCTGTCTTAATAGTTTCCGTACTTTCAACATCATTATTTTCTTTGGAAAACGAGATGTTCTTATTTAATACACTGCACACTTTACGTGGCCTCGGGGTCGTTACCACGTTCATCTTTTAATATTTATTTGAAGTCAAATATATTTTAATTTTGTTACGTGTAAGTTGCCTTTGATTCTGCTAAAAAAAAGTTTGGGGACGTTTGGAATTTTATATTGAGAAAGAAATTTAAACTATCATTTTACTTTTAGGATCAATCCTAGTATTAAACTAGTATAAATAAAGGTTATATAGAAACAAACAGGTACTTTGATTTCTCTTACTTAAAATAATATGTTACCATTAAGGCGTGAAACACTTGCTATTTTTCATATTAAGTTTAATAAAATACTGAAATTTAGTACAACATAACTGACAATTTTCCTATTAATTTCTAAAAGAGTTCCTTGATGGTTAATCAAAAAGTAAATTCTCCAATGAGTAAATGTATCTTGTATCTGTGACTATAATACAATGTCAAGTGCCATTATAATAAGACATTGGTAGGCTCATTTATTGGTCCTAGTTAGATTGTATATCTGAATAAGAGCCGTTAGGAGATGGTCCTTGGTCCACTGCGATTGCCTACTCGTCTGCCAAGCGTGACGATTACGGCGAATTCCCCACATTAAAAATGAGGATATTCATAATAATATAATTAATGTAACTGACATTGCTTAAAAGATTGCTCAGACAAACTGGCAATGGGTGGGACACAGCGAGAAGAACCTATGGCCTTTGGAGTGGAAAGGTTTTGGATGGCGACCACGTATCAGACAACTCTCAGTGGTTAATTACCCAATCAGGTGGATCGAGGATCTGATAAAGGTCACGGGAAGTCGCTAGATACGAGCAGCACAGGACCGATTGTCGAGGAGATCAATTGGGGAGTGGGCGTCTTACGACTGACTTGATGATGATAACTATATAATTTTAGATTTTTTACACAATCTGTCAACATTTTTTTTTTATTTATAGGTCCAAACAGTAGTTACTATAATTCGCTGTAACTTTGCATTGTAGATTATAGTGAACAAGTCCAATTAAACGTGTCGTGAACGTGAATAAATTCGTGCTCGGATTAGAAAGCCACGATTGGAAACTCGGTGCCACATTGTCATGGTCGCGGGCAATCGCGCGGCGTCACAGATGTCTCGATAGTATTCTAACTGTACAGAATAAACCTTCGTGGAGTGTAAACGTACTGAAAATGATTTATTTACTTTAGAATATTACTGGAAAAGTATTTTTGACTTATTGTAGATAATGCTATTAATACCCTTATTCGAATAGGCAATTTTTTATTTACATTAAAATAAAATAAGCATCGAGATATGTATAAACTTTTATCGTTTGTTCTGATTTACTATAGTTTGTATTGTATAATTGAAAATACGTAGATGAAAAAAGTAAAATATGCAAAATTTACATCCCGCTTTCTATACACTGAGATATTTAAAATACACAATATATTTTAATGAGGTTTTCATCAATATACAGAGTGATTCAAGGGGATGGTTTATAAATGCATAATACAGGACTAATATATAAGGATATAGGATATATAAGGAGGCTTATATAAGAAACTATAACTCTTTTCATGTTACTTTTTAAGAAGAACTGGATAAATCTGGCCATTACCTGTATAAAACAGATGTGGAAAACATTTTTGCTTTTGGATCAATGTTTAAATGCTGAGTTAAAGTGAGAGTGACATGTTTTGGCGCAGAATACAACTGTCGACTTTTTCAGTAACCTATCGTCGTTCCGGTCGGTGTGGACGCAGACAGAGTTGCTAATTGCGAGCAAATGAGATTGATTGAAATAAGCTACAGTCGGTTGTGTCTAGTCGAAATGTTTTTGAAATTTAACACGAGCTTTTAAGCATCTATTCTATGAAATTAGCACATATTCTTACTAAATAATGCTTAAATAATCCACTTTGTCCCTGGCACATATATAGAATATTTTACAGTATAGCATTGTGAATACAAAATTTATCAAATATAATAAATAAATATAACTTTTTAAAATTTTCTCAAACAATAAATTACCCGATGCCAGAACGTGAAAAATAATTCTCATCTTAAAGGCAGTTCAAACTCGTACGTTCATGAAAATTCGTTGAAGTTAGTCAACTTCAATATAAACAACCTAATCGAATTGCTTAATATTCAAAATAAAAGGAAAATAAAAGATTCTATAAAAATCTAAAAATTATAAAAAGAAAAGATTTGATTGTTTGTTTGTGATATATATTATGTTACTTACACCCTAGAACTACACTAATAGATTTTTTGAAGCCAATTTGTGGCTGCATGTTGGTTTATATAAAAATGTCAGTGTAAAAATCACGTCTAATACTCGTTATTATAAATATTTAATAATGCAGTTCTAAATAATTAGCGTGAAAATCACAAAGAATCTAAATGACTGGTTAATCGAACTACTTTCAGGAGAAGTCATAAATTCGAAGTGTAGAATTTAATCTAGTTATCATGGCGGGGTCACGGGTTCGGTTCGTTACGTAATTAATGGCGTCGGCTTGAGGATAGTGGGGAATTAGTTAATTGAAATGTACTGCGTCTTGGTTCAGCTTTGTTTAGGTAAAGTAGCTGGTATAAGTTATGGTTAAAAAGTGATATAAACGATGATTTTTGTTAATATTAAAAATTAAAATAATATTCAATATATATAATGCATAGTTAAGATAATATAACTTTTTGTTTTATGGAGTATCTCGTCTAAAATAAACACTTTTTTGTATTCAATGCTTCAAAAGGTAAAAAGGTTCCTTTATAGGATCACTTGTTTGTCCGTCGTCAACACTACCTTAGTTGGAGAAAGGACATTGCTCAACATCCATACATTGGTGGCCCCAGAGCCAAAAAAGTATAGGAAAATACTGATTTTATTGTGTGTCACTAACTAATTCTCATTATGTATTTATAATACCGCGACCAAGTTGTAGAACTTATTATCACGCAAAATATTATTCATTTTGAGGTTATAATTTGTTTGGAAAACCACCAAGAGATGGCACTCTTAAGTACATGACATGATATTGATGTCTGATATTGTCGAAGCAAAAAAACTCAACTTTAAGAATGTCGGATTTTCGTTGTGACTTGTAAGCAGTTTCTAAATCAATAGACAAATAAATTATTCTAATAGTTAAATAATGTACCTATTGATAAGTTTAAAATTAAAAAATCTTTAGTTTTTTGATGGATTACATCAAAAGATGGCGCCTTAAATACGTAAATGACATGATCTTAATATGTTTACGAGAAATATAAAGGTAATGTAATAGAAACAAAGTAGTTTTTAGGATATGTCGTATGAATATCAATCTTTCTGAATAAACAAGAGTGAATTATCAATAGTTAATGAATTTAGTTTGTATAATATTCAGTTTATATGTCCTTATGTTTTAGTTGAAAAATCACCAAGAGATGGCGCTTTTAGTAAATTTGAGTTTATTTTCGGTCAATTTAATTTAATGTTTTTGTGTTCGATGATTTAAAGGTTATCTAATAAAAATAAATGATCTTCTTGATCTGAAGTGTAAATAACATCCATCGACTCAATAGAATTAAAGTGTATTGAATGTGAATATTTGCGAATAAAAATGTTACTGTTAAAGTACTTTTAAATATTAATTTTGGATCGCAGCTTGTCCGTATCAAATAAATATTTGATACCAATTTAATAAATAAATCAATAATTATTATTGAAGTATTAATATTTAATGGTATTGGGGCCATTTTCGGCGATGTCCTTTCAAAATTGTTGCAATCTAAAGAAACAGAATTTTAGGTAGTTTTTTTTACACTCGCAAGGAAATCCAAAACCTATGGCATCATATTCTTAATTAGATTCATGAAATACGACAAGAAGTAATATCTTGTAGCATACGTAAAGGACATAAATCTAACAAATCATAATGTATTTATTACTCGAAAATTCTGTAAATTCTGTAAAATTCTGTAAATTTTGGAAACAAACAGCGTTCTTAATAAACAATCCATCAAATATGATAAAGAAACGTCCGTTATTCCACACATACCTTGTATGATTATGATGCATAAACTTGTTAGATAGTAAGTGTTGTTAGTAAGTCAATTGTTTTCTTTTTTAATTACTGTTAAATGAGTAAGCTTAGATGTTTACTGGAACTAAACTTGCTCTATCTACGCAGCGGTCTGGCGTTGTGCATTTCAGCTGGCAAATGATTAAGTCCTTTTGACCAATTACGTGGGCAAATGGCGTCGCTCGATGCGCGCGCGTTCTATTAATTGTTGAAGCTTGGTGATCTACTGTTGCCCTAAATTAGGATTAGCCGTTTCAGAGGACTTTATAAAATCAGGGGCCTAATTGTCTAATTTATAATCAATGGCATTCCTTTTCAATTTGAAGATATTACGAGCTTCACTCTACACTATTTGATATGTGATAGAGATTTAAGAAGATTAAATGAACGATATCGTTAATTTGACGTTGATTTGAATAGTCTTGTAACGGTGTGCCATGCCACCGTTTGTTTTCCTAGGTTTCAGTATGCAAACTTTTTGCTTTTGAAATTCAACATCATTTCATTTTACTATTCGTCTTTCGTAATTTAAAATTTTGACTAATCAATTTTACTCTTTATGGATGTCAGTTCGTAAGAAATTCTCCTATACACAAGATGAAATTATAATATAATACAATATTATTGGTATAAATTTTACTATGTAATTTTAATAATTCATATATTATGGTGATACAATAATATAACATATTTACTAAATTAAAACTGTATTTTGTACGATCCAAAAGTGTAACAAGAAGCCCGACAAGGGGTATGTATTCGTTTATTTGATAAGAATGTATTAGTTTAAGTAACTTACGAACTGTTTTTTAAATTTATTTTTGTTTGTTACAGTTTTTTATTATTACCCTTATTTCATTAATAAATTATACTCAAGCTGATCAGCCTATTTAATTGACGAAGCACCGAACCCGTAACACTGGCGCCGCAACGTGGTTGAAAAATAGGCTGACTACTGCAATAGAAGACAATAGTGCACACT